TTACATTTTCATGACCCTCAATAGATTATAGAAAACACTGAACCATTTCACAATGAACCTTTACAGAACTTTTTGTTGCAGAAGAAAATTATCAAACATTTTGTTGTAACATCATTCTCTCTAAAAGCTGCTGCATCATACAGATGAAACACTGAGTCAGGTATTTTAACCACAAAGTCACATAAAAACACAATAAACTGAACCGTTGAAGAAAGCAACATCTTTGGAATAGAACAATAGAAAAGCAAAGTCAAGAAGTAAAATTTTATTTTAGTTATTATACCGAAAGCTCTGAATTTGTCTGTTTTTCCCCATGGGGGTAAACTTAGTTTGGATAAACATCAGCTGTAGATTAGGTTTTGTTGTCAAATGTCTGCATGTTTGCATGACCTCAGCCAAAGACCAAACAAAAGGATTAGACTGAAAGGTGTGGCAGCAGCTTACCTGTTTCCTCCTCAGTCCCTGTGGGCGGAGCCAGAGGTCATCAGGGATGATTCTGTTCACCTGTTCATAAAAACAAACAGAAATTTAGCTTCACGGTGACCAAGTAAAACCTGAAAATAAAAAGTTTGATAAAGGTTTTGAGGTATAAAAGGTATATAGACCCATAACAGCGAAAAATACAGAAGGTAATAAAGACTAGAAGTAATAAATAAATAAAAAATAGACATGATATTACATGTGACTTTATTAATAAAATACATAAAAACAGAGAAGATAAAGATGTTATTATGAACACAGTAGTACATTAATAAGGTTTTTTTTAATGTTGACACACTTTGTTTCTTGTTTTTTCTTGTTTGTCTACACTAAATGATAAAAAGAAATATACGTTTTTTATTTTCCTGTTTTGTTTATTTATTCATTTGAGGCTCCTGATCTGGAAGTTTTAACTTTTATTTTGACTTTGAACAGGAGTAAAACCTTTTCAGACACTCATTAAACGACGTGCGTGCAACTCTACATTTGAACACACGGGGGCAGCAAAGCATCAAGGAAGGCTGCCTTTTACAACTGCAGATCTGTGTCAGTGGACCTTAAAAATACGTACTCTACTTAACTTGATCAAGTATACTCACCTTTTACTCCAGACTCATGTAAATACTCTCAAAAATACCACTAGGAATGTACAATGCATGATTTATTTTTCCTCTGTCTTTGTTGTGAGGCTATTTACAGTAAAATTTGCTGTCTAAGATGCACTTTTGATAACTTTTTGATCCTCTAAAAAGTGTTTTTTTTAGTGTGACTGATATATGATGTAAAGAAAGGTATTTTAATGCTGTTTTGTTGAAATCCTGGCCACAGAGTGCTCTGAGTTTGGTGCATATGGAATTACAGCCGCAAATAAAAATCTGGGGGTTTTCATGGACAGAGATTTTAAAATGGATCTACAAATAAATGCAATTGTAAAGCCAGTTTTATCATCTTCGCCTTTTAAACAAGGTCAAGTCTTTTTTTATCTTTTCGTGATTTTGAGAAGGTTATGCATCCTTTTATCACAACTTGTCTTGATTATTGCAATGCACTTTATTTTGGTGCCATGATCCAAACATCTCTTCATCGTTTACAGCTCCTTCAAAATGCAGCAGCTTGGGTTTTATCTGGTCGCTGCAAATATGACCAAATTTCCCCTGTTTTACCCTCTCTTCACTGGCTTCCTGTGCGTTTTAGGATTGATTTTAAAATTTTGTAAGTAACTTATAAATCTTTAAAACCCTATATTTCATCTGGGACTCTCAGATCCTCTAACCAGCGCCTTCTGACCGTCCCTAGGTCAAGATTAAAGTTCAGGAGTGACCAGACTTTTTTCATCACTGTGCCTAAGCTCTAGATGCTCTTCCTCTTCGCGTCCGACTGTCCCCCTCACTGCGGACACCCCTCAAAATGGCGCTAACCCCCATATAGTCGTCTATATAGGGGTTAGAGATCCATTTCGGACACAGCCCAGGTTTTGCTCTCTCCATTCCGTTCTCAGTTTAGTGTGTAGTCAGCTAATAAATAGTTGTTTTTTAAAACCTAACGATATCAATCAATCGCTTTATTTATAAAGCACTTTTCATACATGGTTTGTATCCCCACCCACCTACCCCTCCACAAACACACAGACACACACACCTACGCACACTCTCATGACCATCGGGACACCAAGTCAGGGCTCAACAGGAAGCCACAGAGGACCAAGGAGACGTTATCTTAAACTAAAATGGGGAAACACTGGAGCTGAAGCTAAACTGATAAAACCATGATAAGATATAAAAAATAAAAGGAAATAAAACAACAATAATAATAAAAATATATTATATAATAAAACTGCTTTAAAATCAAACAATAGAAGAAAATAAACAATGTTAAAAACATTTTAAAAATACAAATAGAATAAAATAAATTACTCAAGAGTAGACTAAAATAGAGGCTAGAAGAATAAAACAAAAATCAGCTAATCCTTATTTCATTCATTCCAATATGCTTCGTGTTATGTCTGTCAAAATGGCCGCGCTGGCAGTTACGCACCACGCCCCCGATGCTGCTACACTTTATTGGTACACAATCTAATTTTCCATCAATACACAAATCAAAGAGGGATAAATATGTGAATTCATTTTTTATTTCTAAAGTTAAAAGAGAAGAAAAGCATTTCCACAGCTTCCAAAGGTGCAAAGTGCTCCCTCTGTCCAGCTAACTGTTCGGAACAACATACTTACATACTCAAATAAAAATAAAGAGAAAAAAAAACTGTATATTTTTAATTTATCAGAAAAATGCTTTAAATCCGCCATACCTGTCTGAGTCCAGGCTTCATCAGTTCTCTTAGTTTGGACACGCAGACATAAATCACCTGTCTCACTTCATCTGTTAGCTAAAACATCTTCTCATAGCAGCTCCGTGGAAAAAAAAGAGCGCGAAAGTCTCCTCCTTTATCTTCAGACTGCTGTTTAACTAACACATCCGGCCGCTCAGGTCCGAGCTCCTTCACTTTTCTCCTCTCGATCGACATTGTTTTCGGTCACTTTACTTAATTTCCTCTCTATTTTCTCCTTTTTTCGGCTCTCTCTGTGACTGATAAAGATCTTCCTAGCTAGTTACTCCGACACTCCGCGCTCAAACTCTCTCGCTTGGTGGTTTTCTTTACAGGGAAGTGGGTGAACAAACAGGTCGCTCTCTGCCGCCACCCCATGGCCGGTGGTGGAAAGCAGTAAAGACCAGAGGGAGACTGCGCCCTGCTCTCTCCTATCTGCTGTATTGAAGAGGAACAGACTGCGCATGTCAAAGTTAAAAGGAGAGTTTTTTTTTTCTTCTTTTTTTTTGTAAACGTTTTATTTTTCGTCAAAATACAAATATTAAGGCACTGAAGCAGTTTTTTTAGGTAACAAAAGAACATGAAAAAAAAAACAGAAAAGAGAATGTGAGGGTTTGATTCTCAGAGAGTAATGAAAACAGTTTTAGGGCATTTTTGTTTTTCATGTAGTTCAAAGATTTTTTTGTATATTCTGCGTTTGTTTCTCCATCCATTGGAGTGGGGCTTCATGGTGCGTGTATTATCCGTCCATAACATAAAAATAACATTTTTAAAGAAACAGGCTAGCTCAACTCAAGAAACCTAATCCTGAACTTTAGCTAGGCTAGTAACTAACTTGTATCTTAGATTACAAATAGCCTACTACAAACTATAAAACTTTTATTTTTCTAATGTTTTAATGTTCCGAAATGGTCAAAATAAATCATTTTAAAGTTTTGCTCTCCTGAATTATCCGTGTATTATCCGTCCATTCAATTAAGAATAAGAATAAGAATAAGTTATAGTTAGTCAAGTTTAAGTTACAGTTATTCCATTAAATCTAGTAAACAAAGAACAAAAAAACAAGTCAATATTTTGTTTATTTGTTTTTCTGTATAACAAAAAAAAAAAAAGATTAGTGTTTGTTTTCGAATTTTAGCTCAAAACAGAATATATAACAGAGAAGGAAACGAAAACAAGCCTCGTTAAAACATAGGATATACATGTTAAAGTCATTTAAAAAGGGTTTTATTAAAACAAAGCCTGTGTGATTCTACATGCTGTGAGACAGAAGGGGTGGCACCCTAGCGCCCTCTATCGACCAGCTACCACTGCTTTTCACCCTCATCAGGTCAGAATCCTGCTCTCAAAGAATACGGTGTGATTCTGTGAGTAAATGCACTAGTTAGAGCTTAACGTCTGCATATAAACTGCACATTGCTGAACGCATTCGAAGTCCTCAGTTTAAACTTTTTTATGCATCGATGCACAGACCGTCTTATAAACTTCTTTTCTGGATTTTAAACATAAAAACTAAAAACTTTGGTGTCATTCACCATATTTTGTTGTCATATTTTTAATCATCTACTTAAGCTCTTAAGTGGTTTTCTAACCGGAGCACATCAGGTTTTATAGTTGAGATAATAATACTTTATAGTTGCAGTATCTTCCTCTGAGGAACAAAAAGATACTATAATGTCAGCTCCATTAGTCACAGTAGCAACAGTCATTAAGACTATTTATCCTGTAAACCTGTTTGTCCTGCTCAGGTATGCCGGGGGTGGAGTATTCTATAATCCACATTCACATTATGAGTATGAGCTGTGACTCATACCAACACTGTTTACTCTAACTGATCACAGGAGTAAATGTAGTACAAATCTGCATTACTAACAGAGTATTCAGGAACTGTTTTTATTAGCACCGATTAACTTTTAAAGGCTTTCATGCAGAAGCTGTCGTGATCGACAAATAACCAAATAACCAATTAATCAACTTCTCTCAGCTGTACGTGTTTGCATACATTTTCATATCCTGTGGGAATAATACCCCGATCACTAATCCAGGTGTTAGACCGTCTTAGCTATAAGACAAGACAGGATTTTAGTTACAGTAAAAAATAAGATCCAGGGGGGAGAATTAAAAGCTGCTCTTGCTTTAAAGGGATATTCCGTCATAAAATTAATTCAGGGTCAAACCCACCGTAACACCGAGTTAGACCCCCCCCCCCAGAGATGAATGTTGTCGACCGCTTGCTTCTCTAGTTATACCAACTTTAGTAACGACCGCAGGATAGCAATACAGAGAGCCACGCCCTCAACCAAAACGCCACTCTATAGCCACAAATAATGCTCAGAACAGCACCTAACTTCATCAACAGGACATATAGGGTCACAGACATAGTACTAGACACCAAACATCTTTTTAACTTTGACTCATTTCTTTAGCAAAGAGACTAAACACAACTCACCTACTCTCTTCCAGCAGCCGCTTGTTTGTAGTGAGACCTCAGGCCAGTCCATTACAGACTACAGCAGGGTGACGCAGCTCAAGGAAGAACATTTATCATCATATGTCCTGTTGATGAAGTTAGGTGCTGTTCTGAGCATTATTTGTGGCTATAGAGTGGCGTTTTGGTTGGGGGCGTGGCTCTCTGTATTTCTATCCTGCGGTCGTTACTAAAGTTGGTATAACTAGAGAAGGAAGCGGTCGACAACATTCATCTCTGGAGGGGGGGTCTAACTCAGTGAGTTTGAGCCTAAATGAATTTTACACCGGAATATCCCTTTAAGGCTTTAAATGTGTTCAATAATGTACAGTTTATATGCAGATGTGTAGCTCGCAGTGATCGTACAGTCAGACCCGCTGTCTGTAACAGCTGGGACTTGTTCTCTGAAGCAATCATCTACCTCCTGTGAACTCAAACTGAGGTGAACCTGCAGGTTCAAACTCCCCACATTGGCACGGATTGGATGGGCTGTTTTCCCGCTCTTTCTGTGGCGGCCAATCACAGATGAGCTGATGAATGTTACATGTTTATAACGTGCAGCAGGCAGCAGGTCTGACTGACTGTCTTTGTCCCGGGGCTCTGATCTGATGTCATGTCAGGACTCATCTCTGGATGTGTGTCAGACAAACTCATGAGGACTTTCACTGAAGTACGACAGGACTGTGTGCAGACTGAAGACGTTTGCGGGGTTAGGACTATGAAAAGGAGAGTTAGAGAGAAGGACTGTAGAGACACAAAACTTCATCTCAATGATTTTAAAACCAAACTGAAAACGAACCTTTTTAGTCTTGATTTTAACCAAATTTTATATCCATACCTTTAAGTGTTTTAGCATTTATCTCTTCTAGCTTTAATGACAGGATCGTCTTTTATGAGCTTTTTTGGAGCTCTTATTTTAGTTTATCTTATTTTTTATCTTATTATTTCTTAAATTTCATTCTATATTTCTTTGTTTTTAGATTTTAAACCTCCTTATCTGGAGTTTTAAAACGGTGTTTCCTCAGTGTACACATTCCTGTTTATATGAAATCGAGCTCTTTTTTAAGTTCAAGCATTTTAATTCACGTTTCTATTGTACTTAGATTACATGGTGGGAATGAGGGGTTTGGTTTGGGGTAGATTAGGGTATTCTTTGACAATTTGACAATAATTATAAATTGGATCAACAAATCAGCTCTGTTGTTTAATCCAGTTTTTTATCATCTGAGGCTTTTCTCCCAGATTAAATCAGTTTTATCTTTGAATGATTTTTAACGAGTCCTTCCTGTTTTTATTTCCACTCTTTGGTTGGACGACTGTAACTCTCTTTACGTCGGTGTTTATCAGGTTTCTCTCACAAACTTACAGTTGGTCTAAAATTCTACTGCTCGTCTTTTAACAGGTAAACCAAAACATCCATTTTAGAATTCATTTTAAAATGTTATTGTTTGTTTTTAAATCTTTGAACGGATCAGCACCACAGTACGTCTCTGACCTCTTAAATCTTTGTACTCTAGAGGTTGGCTGATCAGCTCCAACTCGTCGTTCCTAAAACTCGTTTAAAAACCCGTGACGACCGAGCTTTACTCCACCACTCAAGATGAAACATCCCTCCACTCTTTCTACTTTAAATCGCTTCTTAAAACTCATCTTTATTCCTCGGCTCTTAGCTCAGAATGAGAGTTGTGTGATCTCTGTCCTTTTATCACTTTTATTTCTTTTATGCGTTTGTGTTTTTATTTCATTTTAAATGTTTTTTTACCTGCTTTTTTTATTTCATCTTGATGTTTTCTGTTTGGTCTTTTAATTTTATTTTGCAGCACTTTGGTAAACTTGAATGTTTTTTAAAATGCGATATAGAAATAAAGAGGATAGGATTGGAACAGTTGACTGTCAGACTCCAGAACCTGGTCTGCTGGGTCCACTACGGTCTACAGAGAGTTGGTTAAAGAACTTTAATCTGGTCTAAAACTCAAATAAAAACCATCAAATTGTGTTTTTCTTTTGGTATTGTGGTTCTTTTCAAAATAAAAGTCCTTTATATTTCTGTTGCACATTCAGCGTCTGTCTGTCTGTCTGTACAGTAACCCTGAGAGAGTCAGGTAAACATGTATTCTGAGTAAAGTGAAGCTGCTTCAGGTCGGCCATCTTTCATCCTGTGTGTGTGTGTGTGTGTGTGTGTGTGTGTGTGTATAATGAAGTGTTTTTTTTACATTCCTGTGTGAGGACTTCTCTGCTGAGTTTTGGGCCCTCCAGGCTCCTGCAGACATGACTGAACAGAGATCAGATCCTCCTCCTCCTTCTCCTCCTCCTCCTTCTCCTCCTTCTTCTCCTCCTTCTTCTTCTCCTTCTTCTTCAGGCTCCGTCATGTTCATCCTTCAACACTCTGGATCCTGATTCATCACCAAAGAACTTCATCTGAAACCTGCAGAGCTGGAAGAAGAAGAAGAACCCGGGTCATTTGATTTCACTGACGGCCCAGTTTGACAGTAAATGTGAACAGCTGAGAAGTATACTATAGTAACATAGACTTCAGACCTGTCGCCCCCTGCTGATATAAAGAAATACTGCAAGTTTGAAGCTGGACAGATCTGCAGAAAACCACAGAGATGTTTGAGTTTTTTATCTGCAGAAATCCATTTGAGAGAAAAATGCAGCAGGTTTATATTTAAGCCTGCTCCTTTTGTCTCGCTCTCCCTCTCTTTGTCTCTTTGTCTTTTCACTGCGGGCTGCTGCGTAAACTCTGCTCACAGATAAACTCTCTATCAATAAACTTTCACCACTGGCTTTACGAGACGGCTGTTAACAGACATTTGAACTGAAAGGAGGCCAGGCAGCCGTCCAACTGTGTCGTCTGCAGGGCCTGGACTCAAAGTGATAATAGGTGCTCCAACCACAGAGTGAAAACACTGAAGAATACAGAACAGTGGACTTCACAAATATCATGAATGAAGGAATAATAATTATAATCATCCTGTTAAATGTTGGAACAGTTTTGACCCCTTTTGTGTTTCTTAATAATAATGACACGACCACACACGGAGACGGAGAGGAAGAGGAGGCTGGTCGTGTTTGTGTGCACAGAAGATTTACATCCACAGACAAGTATGACGGTGAAACTTGACAGAGGATCAGACTTAAGGTGCATCACAGGATCTTCGTGAGCAAGTGAGCGTTTCAGTCTAGAAAACGGCCTCTAGATCTCACTGAATATTCTAGATAAAAGTCCAAAATAATTCTGTTATTGTTTTATTCACCTAATGACCTCTCGTTCGGGTCCAGATCTCTGTTTGAAAACCGCAGAGATAGTGTAAATCGATTAACTTAATAATAATAATAATTTTATTTGTGTAACACTTTAAAAAAACAGATGTTCACAAAGTCTTTTGACATGTAGTCGTAGAGCACATGGAAGAAGAGAAATAAAAACAAAAAGCTCAGTTAAAACAGGATTGAAGGTCATTTTCATGTCATACAAGAACCATGCAATATAAAGTGAGACCATGAGGACCGAAATAAAAACATGAAATAGTGAAGAAAAAAAGGAAAATGCAATTAAATGGGAGGACGAAAGTGGAAACAGGATAGTAAATATAAAAGACAAAATCAACAATGATGATAAAATAATAACAGGTAAAAGTGATAATAATAGTAATGATAAAATAGAGCAACAGAAATGAGCAAGAGATAAAACAATTAAGTGCAAGTATAAGAAAATCTAAAAAGACAGTAAAACTGAAAATAACATAAAAGATAAATTAAATAAAGTAAAAGTCGTCATCACCTAAAATCAAGTCTGTAAAAGTGAGTTTTTAACTTTGACTTAAAGAAGCGTCTGTCTCTGCTGTTCTCCTTCTCTCCTCTGAAGGTCGTTCCAAAGTCGAGGAGCTCTGATGGACAAACATCGATCAGCTTTAGTTTAGAGACTTTGGAACGACCAGGAGGACTTCAACAGAGGATCTGAGAGTTTTACTCAGAAGGAAGTAAAAACTCTGAAATGAAGCTCAGAGAGAGTCCTTTGAGAGCTTTAAAAGTAATCAATAAAATCTTCAAATCAATTCTCAAACTGACAGGAAGTCAGTGAAGGAAGGTTAAAACTGGAGTGATGTGACGCCGTCGACTAAAACCAGTTAAAGTCGAGCTCTGAGGAGGGAGGAGAGAGTTACAGAAGTCCAGACTTTGAGAATAAAAACATGGATTATTTTTTGGAGGATCTGTTTAATATTTGAAATGGAGCGCAGGTGAAAAGAGCAGGACTGGACGATTTTGTTGATGGTCTGAATCAAAAAATAAAATATATTGATTAACGATGTTTATTAGAAAATTAACCATGGAAACAATCAATGAGATGTAATGCACTTGTTGTATTTCAGGTTAAGATCGTCATTTCCCTTCAGCAGAACTGCAGCCTGTTCATACCTGTAAACAGGATATTGTGATACCTTATAGGACCCACACTGAGCACATCATCTTTAATGTAAATCATCTTAGTGGATAAACCTGGTATAACAGGTGAATCGTGCAGGTTACCGTGTAAATAAAAATAAAAATTTTATGTTTAAGGTTCAGATCGTATGTTTACGTTCGCTGGAGTTCTCTTGTACGTTTCTTTTTTTACTTTTAAAGCATTTTTTTTGAGTAAAGATTCAATATTTCTTCTTAAAACCTCTTAGTCTGTTTGGGAGTCTGGTCATTAGTTAGAGATGTTACAGGATAACATCCTCATGTGACCCCCCAGATTCATCAGGGAAAAGAAAAGAATTAAAAATAATGTTTAATATAAAGACGTTCCCCTCTTGATGGACCCCAAACCATGCGTTGGAAACTTGGTTAAAGATGTAAAAGGTGTTACAGGATGACACCCTCATGTGACCTCCACAGTGTTTTTTCAAGTTTCTGCAGATTTAAAAGGGAAAACTAAAAAAAGTAAAAATAACATTGAGTAAAGACGTTCCCCTTCTGTCCACTTTTAATCATCTCCTGACCTCTTGGTGGACCCCAAACCATAGGTTGGACACTTAACCTTTACCTCTGAACCTTTGAGGTGTCTGGAATCTCTTCGTTTTTGCAGAGTTAAAAGGGAAAAATAGAGAATTAAAAATAATGTTTAATACAGAGAAGTTTGCCCCTTGGTGGACCCAAACCTTAGGTCTGAAACTTTAACTTTTCCTCTGACTCTTTAATGTGTCTGTGTGTTTTCATGTTTTTGCAGGGTGGTGTGGTCCGTCTGTAAAGGAGTTAAAGAGAAAAATACTTGGAGACAGAGAGCTGTACTTCACCGTTTAATGTGGGATTATTGTTTCTGTGTTTTTTTTGTAAGTGTGTGTACCTTCACCTGAGACGTCACTGTGAGAAAAAACAAGCAGAGATGCAAAGTACAACTCACAAAATAAAAGTCCGGTTTATTGTCAAACAACAAACTTCGCACATACATCAAAACAGGCCGTCATAAAACAAAAAGTCGCTGACAAAAACAAAAAAAAAAAAAAGAAAAAGGAAAAAGAAAAGAGGCTCTTTTCTTTGGCCTTACCCTCCCATACAAACAAACTAGTTATGGTACAGCTAAAGTACATACATTAAATTTACTGGAATGCTCTGAGTTCAACGGCTTAAGAGGTTTGTCTTTCATGGTTTTTTTACTGTTTTTACAGGTTTTTTTTTTTGTCTCTTCTAGTTCTTCTGCTGAGATATCGTAACATGGTCAACCAAGTAAAATCTTTCGTTAAAGAAGCACCGATTTGGTCTGACAAGATCGCTGCCGAGAGAGAAACTGACCCCCCCTCCTCCTAACAATATGTACAAAAATATAAAATGTAAATAAAAATACAAACAAATTCTCCGTTCGTGTTGTTGTTGTTGTTGAAGAGAAGCCGGATTTCTGCGTCGAAGTGTTGGCGTGTGTCCTCTAGAAAATTTGTTTTGCAGTTTTGAGGGGAGATCGAAGAGTGTGTGGACGTGGTTGATGTTTTGTTGAACTCTACTTGCTAATGACCATGTTGGATTTTTTTTTTTTTTAATTAAGTATTTTTTTCCTTTTTAAATCAGTCCTCCAGCCCCCCCACCTGTGACATCTAAAAACAGTCAGAGGTGAAGAATCAGGAAGTGGTTCAGCAGGATGGTTCAGGGGAAAAACGCATCAATCATCATCGTCGGTTTTCTGCTTCTTGGTTTCGACGTCGTCCTGGAAGAAGAAGAAGAAGAAGAAGAAAGAAGGTGAGTACGGAGGAAACGCCGCCGGTTATCGTTCTGGAAACGGAGGAGTCTGGAACCGCACCTCATCGTCATCGTCGTCATCCTCAGCTGCCCGTTTTGTGCCGCCCTCGAGCTCGTCGTCATCGTCCTCCTCGTCTTCCTCATCACCTGCAGAAGACAGAAACAAACCACGGCTCATTGGGACTTTGTCTTTTCGCAGGAAATGACATCACTGAGATATAAGATCTTCCTGTTACCTTCTCCCTCGTCTTCCTCGTCCTCCTCGTCAACCTCCTCATCTTCTTCATCGTCTACCTCAGGCTCTCCGTTCTCCTCGTTCTCCTGGAGAGAAGTTTGAAAAGAGAAAAGTTCATCTCGTGTTCTTAACCGTAGAGCAGAAAGAGAGGAAGTGCTCAGCAGCAGCAGCAGCAGGAAGTCCTTATATGGTCAGGGTGGAGGCGGTGGAGGTTACCTTTCCGTTGGTGGCGGCATCTTTGCCGTTCTCCTTCTCCTCCTGCTGCTGCTTCTTCTCTTTCAGATCCTGAAAAAAAAACACAAACACAACTTTTTTATCAAACGTGCAGCTGATCCATCAAGACTCGCTGCTGCCGCCGCCACCGCTACCTGATGGCCTGATTACTGAGTCCCAATGCATGCTGGGAGCTCAGTCCCTGTCAGAATGAAGCCTTCCTATTTAAACTCCTTGTTGCTCTCTGCAGATCCTCCCCCCTCCCTCCTCCTCCTCCCACTCCATCCCCTCTAATGTGTTGTAATCTGATACCTTGATGTGTCCTCGAGGGAATTCTGGGTATTGTAGTCTTCCACTGTCTGCCGTCACCACCATATGTCACGAGACACGCCCGGGAGAGGCACTGCAATACCCAGAGTGCAACGCGCCATTTAAAATAACACAGGACGGCGCAGAAGCAGGGGAGGGCGGGAGGAGAGCGAGGAGGGAGGGGGTGATGGAGGAGGAGGAGGGAGGAGGAGGAGGAGGAGAGGGAGGAGGGAGAAAAGGGGGGAGGCGGCGGCGAGCGCGCTGCACGCTGCTGCTGCTGGCCGCTCGTTGTAACGGAGGCTGTAAAGGACAATAGAAGACGACACATGGCAGGCGAGAGGAGCGGCGAGAAACGCGCAAAGACGCTCCGGAGCCCCCGCACGCACCGGCTCACGCACCTTCAGGGGGTTTTCAGCCCCGCTCGGACCGGAAAACCGCCCGCCATGCCTATTAATAGCGCTCTGTTTCCTCGTTTTGTCGACATCGTCCGTCCCCCCCCCCCCCAGCCCGTTATCCCCTCCGCACGCATGACCCGCACATCCAACCCATTCACCGCGATTGATTAATTGCTTTACATAATCTTATTGGTTAAAATCCATTAAGCTGTTTAGGAGCATCGGCAGCTCCTTGGCAGGAGACAAATGAGGTTGAGTTGAGCTCGAGGCTCCGCTCGCGCACTCTCCCACTGTGCGTAAAAAGGCGCTTGTGCGTAAAAATGCTCCACAACTATAAATAGTGGCTGAGCAGGCAGCGCGGATTATCAGCGCTAATACCAGGCCCCAACTTTTCCCTCTCCACCTTCTCCTTCCCTCCGTGGGTCCATTCGGAACATTCACTCTGAATTACTCGGTTCTGCTGCTCTTATCATCTACAGCCTGGATTCCCCCCCCCCCCTGCTGCCGCCGCCGCTGCTGCGGATCCCAGACTCCCCCCGCGGGGGCGATTAAAGTTTTACCCAATCTGATCCAAAGTCCAACCAAAAGGAAATTAATCTTTACTGAAGCACAAAGGTGGGCAGAGAGGAGGGAAAGAGCCCAAAGTGAGGGGAAAACCAGCACCGTCACATCACACCTCCACAGCCCGGACACACACACACACACACACACACACACACTCTAACATACACACACACACACACAGGAGGGAGAAGTGGGCTGCATTACAGAAAAAGAGAGAAAAACTTTTCCCCTGAGACACTTACGCGCCCTGCAAACGTGCTCCAAAAATACTCAAGTCAAGAAGAAGCGGAAGCCGCGGCGGCGAGTCTCCGTGTCACAGACTCTCCGGTAAACGGAGGCTGGATAAACATGAGCCGCCGCCGCCGCCGACCTTCCTGAGTCGGTAAACAAACCGGGTCGGTGTGTGCAGCCACGCAGGCCCACTGTTGCTCTCTAAAAACAAGGCCAGTGAACAAACAAACAAACAACAACCCAACACGACCCGGAGCTCCGAAAGTTGACATCAGGGGGAGAGAATTACGCACCGCCTGCCTGCCGCTCCGTCCTCCATTCAAACGGACCAACTTCAGCACCACACCGCCGAACTCAGCCCATCACCGCCCAGAAAACCCGGGCTGTTCGGGTTCCACGCACACTCAAGGTTGATTTAATTCGCGTTTCAAAGATGTGGGATAAAAATGTGTGAAAGGCGCGTCAACGGAGCGGCAGGTAAAGAGCGGAAAAAAGAGCGTGATAGAGCGGCTGCTGATGGTCCGTGTTCGGGTCCGAACCTGCTGTGTGTGTCTCAGCGAGGAGAACCGAGCCGCCTGTATAAACAAAGAACCCGCGCAGACTGCTCTGCTCCGGACAATGAGAGACGGGTTCAGCGCGCAGCCCGTTTCCATGATGCGGAGCCGAGACCCCCAGCTTTCATTTCCCCATCAGAGGAGAACCACCACCGGCTCAAACCTCCGCTCCCTCCCCGGGTCTCTACCACTCAGGAGTCCGAATGAGCGCGAACAACGACGGGGAAAGGTCTTGTGAAAATCTAGGTTAGAGCCTGGAGCTGCTGGTTCTGCTCAGGAGCTTAATGAGGCGCCGGAGGTGTGAGGAGGAGCTGCTTACCTTTGCAGAGATATCCGAGCCGGAGTCGACTTGTGTGTCTGCCATTGTTTTAGTTCAATAAAATAAAGGACGGCTGAAAAATGAAAGGTTGATAAAGTAAATCCCTCTCTCCTCGGATTGTGGATCAATTCTATTATATTGTGCCAGTGGCCAGCGCTGCTCACGGCCGAGCCTTTAATATAGGCTCATGGGCGGAGCTAAGAGCGGCTCGGCGGCGCCTGATTGGCTGAGAGCTCCACAGAGGTGTTCTCTTCGCGCGTTGGAGTGGAACAATGGATAGAATTTCTAAAACCTGAGGCCACGCCCCCCTCCATCCGCCGTTGCTACTGTCTTTTCTCCTCTAAAACAATAACCCTGACCGATTAAACTCGACCAAACGGGCCCCGCTGATTAACGTCGTGACCGATCCCGTAACGTGTGACCGACTGAGTTCACTTTACATCGAATTACGCACCGAATACATCGACTGGGCAGCGCTTCGGTTGACGTATGTCACATTTTGATTGATTGATGTTCGTCTCGTCGAGTCAAGCGGCGAGGACCGGCCGCTTTTCCCGCCCACCGACACGACGAGGGAATAGAGGGTTAGAGGTGGGAGAAAAGACGCTAAATATCGACGGAATCGACAGTGTTGGTACCCTGAAGCTCTGTTTCAACGTTAATGTCACCTTTTCTACTCTTTCTGAGAGCAGTGAATCACGTTAAAAGTGTATCCCTCCGCCGCCATCTGAGCTCTTCATCCTCCTCGCTGGCCCCGCCCCCTCCCGCCGCCCATGTTTGAACCTCTGTATCTCTCTCTCTGAATGTGCGCACTTGACGCGCTTCAATTTTTTTCCTTTTTTTTACATAACACCCCATAAATTCGAGCGCCAAGGTCGACGGCGCACGAATAAACACGTTAAAACCAAGAGTAACGTTTTGACACGGTGCTGTAGTGAGTTCAGTGAAAACACAAGTGCTGCTGCTGGTGGTGGTGAAGGTGGTGGTGGCCTCTTTTTCCCTTCTCACCATTGTTAGAAGAAGCCACGAGAAAAGCCCCGCCGTGGAGGAGGAGGAGGAGGAGGAGGGAGGGAGAAAAAAAGCAGTGCGACATAACAGACATGCGATGAGACAAGTGCGAGAAAAGAGTCTAATGTGCTCATGAACTGACAGCATTCTTATGAAACACAAGGGCAAACACGGATTTTTCCTTACCGACGTTTGTACTCTTAGCTTTTACAAGGACAAAGCGGCAAAAAGCGGCCGCCATTGCTCGCTGAGGATGGGGGGGATGGGAGCAGAGTGTGGTCCGGTAACGGGCAGCCCACATTCACATTCTACTCTGCTGACGCACTCGGCCGCCGAGGACCGCGCTGATTGGTTCTTTAAGTGGAATAAACACGGCTTTGGCGCACGGCGGGCGCTGATTGGCCCTCGAGGACGTCCATCAATTCAAACTGGGCTCCGGCGGCGCGGTGTAAAGTGCGGGGATGGATTGTGGATCGGGATTGTATGTGTTAGTGTAGAGTTTCACTTCAGGCTTTCACATGTTAGCTTCGCTGCCGAGGAAAACACCTTTTACCGCCATGATCTGTGAGAGCAGCATCATTAAATGGAGACGACCTCTTCATGTTTCATGTACCTGAGAGAGGAACACTGAAGCAGGTGTGCCTGAGAGCAGAGCAGGGAGGAAATGATCCCTCAACTACAGCAGAGTCTGCTTCACTCACCGTGTTTTCACTGTTTGGTGTTTCATTTGACAAAAAAAATCAAAAACACTCTGAATTATTGGAATTCAAATGACTGTAAAACTCAAACTACTCAGCTTATGTGGACATGGGAGATGAGAAACTACAACAGAGTATTAGAGCCACATTAAGAAAAAAAAATAAGACTTTGTAATTGATTACGGGAATAAGTCACGGTAAAATTATAATTTACGACAATAAAGTCATATTAAAAATCTTACTTATAAAAATAAAGTTGTAGTAAAATCATTACTTACGATAATAATGTCATAATCAAGTAAATACTTGCAAGAATAAAGTCGTAATAAAATTAATTACGAGAATAAAGTCATAATAAAATAGTTACGTGAACAAAGTCATATAAAAATCATTACTTATGAGAATAAAGTCATAATAAAATCATTACTAGAATTAAGTTGTAGTAAAATTATTACTTAAGAGAATAAAATCGTATTAAAATCATTACTTACGAGAATAACGTAATAAAATTATTACGAGAAAAATTTCGTATAAAAATCTTTTCTGAAGAGGATAAAGTCTAAATCAAGTAATGACTTACGAGAATTAAGTCGTAATAAAATAATACAAGAATAAAGTCATTAAAATCATTACTTACAGGAATAAAGTTGAAATAAAATAACTGTGAATAAAGTTGTATAAAAATTATTACTTACAAAGAATAAAGTTGTATTAAAATAATTTTTCACAAGAAAAACATTGTAAAAAAGAAATTACTTGAGAGTTAAGTCGTTATAAAAAATTACTTATGAAAATAAAGTCATAATTAAATCCTTACGAGAACACAGTTGTAGTAAAATCATTACTTATGGGAATAAAGTTGTATTGATACATACACGAAACAATATGATTCACAGCAGTACGATACGCTGTATGAACACAACATGACACATACAGTGGAAATCAATACAACATGGTACACTAAGGTAGGATACAGTACACTAAAGTAAGGTTTGATATGTTAAGATATGATGTACGGAAGGATACTGTTGGATATGATATTTAACTTAATACAACGTTATGATATGATAGCCTACAGTATAATTCGATACAATATTATAATATACAGTTTTGTATGGTAAGATGCAAAGAGCTATCTATCTATCTATCTTATCACATAGCTAGCTAGCTATATGATAAGGTACAGTACGCTACACTGTGGTACATTACCACACAATATGATAAAAAAAACAATATGCCAAGACATGATATGATGAGATATGGTATGATATCATGAATAAGAATGTTATACCATAATTTTAATTTTCACACATTAAGCGAACTTCACATAAATAATGATAAAAACAAACAACAATCAAGATGTTTACAACGACCCTTAACATAATACTGTATCTGCTCAACAAAACACAAACACAATTACTGTACAGTTGGTATAACTACAACACAAACACACACACAGAGTTTTCCTTCTGTTATAATCCATCGATTTAACTCCTCATCCCATTCAGAGTTTCAGGGTAATGAACGTCTGGATTATTTCTAATTTAATCCTTATTGGATAAACCTCGTACCATGCGTCTTAAATACATCAGTCCAGTTTTATTTGCCAGTGTGAGTCTATCAGTGATATTTAGACTGTTTCAGACCTGGAAGAGTGGATTACCAGCCGGGCTGAGCAGTCAGCTGTCCTGGAGCCCCAAACCCCTGAGGAGTCCCCTAAAGCCGCAGGTTCAGTGTGTGCCAATTGGTTGTGCATAATTTGATTAACTGCAGATTTGTCTAGGAATTTGCACCATTGAAGTACAATATCGACTGAGACAGGTCCTGAATCACTACTTAATCTTATGGCCCTGTCCTAGAGAGGGGTCCTGTGTCAATATGTGGCTTTAAGACCCACCTTATTTAAGTTATAATTGGGGCCAAAAAATAACGTCTTCACTGCAGGGCCCCTTAACAGGTTAATCTGTCCACGCTCTGCAGGGTTTGGTCCTCTAGTGGGGAACACGGCAGACCTTCAGCCTCATCCGAAGTTCCATGGCTTGTTGTCTGACTGTAAAAATAGATCACAATCATTTTTAGTGTTGACCTGATACTGATAGCTTAGTAGGAACAAGTTTGGACCTGCATGTTTGAGTTTGTTATGTCTTTAGTTTACAGGTTTAAAGACACAGTGTGTAATTTATCAGAATGGATTTGATCGTACCAGAATAATCATGACTTTGTTTAAATTAGTGATTATTTAACGGAACACAAAACGCAGATTTCCCTGGTATCAGTTTAATTACAAACATTTTAATCTCAGCCATCATGAAAAACTATGTTGCCTTCTTATAGTTCCCATTATCCACATGAAAGTTGGTTAAAATAGACAAATGAACCAACCATGAACTGAACAAACCACTAAAGGAAGAATAAAAACATGTTTCAGGGTCTTGGTGGCTAAGAAGAAAAACAGTGTAAAGTTGATTTCTCCTGCAGCAGGTAACAGGCGATAATCTCTGATGGATCCAAGTCCTGAAAAAGTTCTTGTTCTGGTTCCTGACGGATTCAGATCGTTATTCTAAGATCTCACACATTAAGAGGAAGATGATCTGGAACTAAAATCAGCTGTTGCTCTCCTCAAAGCCACCAAACCCCATGGACAAAAACATGGATTTAAGCTCACAGGACAGGGGAGTTGCTGCTCTACCTCTGCCCTGACCTGCTATGGGACAGGGGTGGACTAATAACCCCCCGATTTCCCCTGCATCCTGAACGTCTACTAAAAGGTCGTATTCGCCAATCGTAACCATTCAAGTTAACGAGTCAATTTCCACCGACTTCTTTCCGTTCATCTGCGAATCGCCAGACTCCACAGCTGATCGCAAGAGTTTTATTTTTTCTGGACGCTGAAGCATGGCGGATAAATTCAGACGTCATTTCACCCCGATGACACCATGGATGAGGAGATGCTGATTCTAGAAGTCTAGAAGTAGATTTCCTCCTCTGGAAGGACACAATCTACTGCTTATATGTCTATGTGAAATACTCATTATGGCTCGATTGAACGTGAGTCCACAGGTTCTTGTGAGTTCTCGCGATATCTGCTGTCCGTAATCCGCCATGAAATTCACCTCACAAACGGTAGAAATTGGCAGATGGAAATAATTGCCACCGTTTCGGATGCGGTGGAAATGCGGGTAACTCCGGTGTTCTGATGTGGTAAAATTTTTTGGTACTGTAGTGTAGTGAATTTGTAGAGAGTGATGTAACGGTTGTTTCTGTTGAGTAGATCCTCTTCCTCTTTGACAAACGGCTCTCTCTCTCTCTCTCTGTGAAGATCTTTAATGTAATGTTGTCAAACCCTTCAGATAACAACCTGAGCCTATTAGGGACATAAACAAGAACTTTTAGAGGACTTTGCAGCCATCAGAGACGGTTTAACTGCCACCAAAAGTGTGATCACCTCACACATCCCGATATTTCGGACTGATTCAATATCTCCATTCTTCCTTTCCTCCATTTCTAATATGAATAGATGCATCTAAAGGTGAAAGCAAAACTATTTCTGTTTGCTGGATCAGAATTTAGATTTATCAGAGGACTCAGTTGGGTTTAGCCTGACTTTGCACCTCAGAGACCCAGACACCTTTGAGCACTAAACCCCTTCAACTGAGCATAAAGTTCATCAATGGAGCGTGTTTAAAGTGGAGTTTAAATATTTGGAGCCTCAGAACTGACACTAATCCAGGTTTAGAGCTAATCCAGGCTGCTGCGTCTCACCCTGCAGGGGATGAACTCAGTCTACTTCAGCAGATGCTGCTCAATCAGGACGAGAGACACTTTGAGTCTGTTTTTGTTTCTGGTTTTTCATCATAGCTGAGAGTTCACTGCAGGAAAGACAGGAATCGATTAGTAGGAGAGGATGAAGTAGCAGATAAAGTCTCTCTGGGGTCTGACTGGTTGTTTTACTGGATGCAT